TATGTATATAGCATCAGTTCACATAATCTTCCCAAATATATTTTTACTTAAATGAAAATGTAACCAAAACCTGTATTGCTGATTTAGTGGTAGCACAAAGCTCAAGTGCAATTCTCAGCTTGGATTTCTGACTCTTTACACTGGCACCTTGAAGGAGAGATGGTGTGGAAAGGAGGCTTTAACAGTATTCAACTCTGTCCACACTCCACCTTTGCCAAGGTCAGATGGTGCAAAACTAGACTGTAGAACTGTTTTAACAAAGTAACTTAGGATCCTAACAAGAACAGACTTAGCTAGACTGATGAAAGCAAAGGTGACCCATGTATGTCAAACATTTCATATTGCAGTCTTCAGACACTGGAATCTACACACATTCATACAGATTTTGTCAACATTTATCAGTCTTTTAAAAAAAAATTTCCAGAGGAAGAAGAATAATTTGGTTCATATAACTGAATTTTATGAGAAACATTCACATCCAAGTGAAGCAATTTTAATGGTTTTCCCTTCAGTATTGTTTCCATTTCAATTAAAGTGTAGCAGTTTGCTTCCCCCTGGTAATTTTGTATCCTAAAATCTTCCAAGTTCTTTTACTTCTGATAATGCAATAGAGACAGTGGATAAGGCTCACTCAGATGACAGGATATCACTCATAAGATGCCATGCACACATGGTGGAATATAGTTAGTTGGGTGAGTTAATTATTTTCAAAAACAGATTAAATCCAAAAAGCCAAATTCAAAATTTTAGTGCTTTTAGAAAGAAAATCTCACTTCATCCTATCAAAGGTACTAGAATCTAAACTTCAGATATGTCTCCTTGTTGACAGTCTCAAAATTTTATTTGGTCTAATACGGACTACAATTCCTTCCTGCTACAAAGCCTGTTTAAATTCAATGTACAAGCTAAGTTAATACTTCCTCAAATGTTAAGACTACAATTTTCATTAAGATGTCAGAATCCTAATTCAACATGGAGATTGTACTAAAAGATGCACATTTCACTGGATCTCCATTTTGGTTTCTGCAAAGATCTAGCTGAAAGTTTACATAAGGTGGTAGTGGTTTTGGCAAGGAAGCACTTGTAAAATTCTGTAAACTATCTACTTCAAGTGCTTTCACCAAATTAAGATGAAATATAGCTTTGGAAACTTCAGCAGATGGAAAAGAAATAAGAACTATGAAAACATCTTACTTTGTAAGTTTACCTTTTGTAAGTTCTTTTATATCTGTTGTTGATTCTTGGGATTCAAAGGTATAATAAAACACTGTGTAGGCTCATTAGTAATGGATCTGGTAATTTCCCAAATTCATTCAGCAGCTCATTAGTTGTATTATTATTTTTTTCTTAAATTAGTAAATGAGACAAATCTCAGAGTCAGAGGAATAGTCGTGTTAGTCTGGGATCTGCAAAACCAACATGGAGCCCTGTGGCACCTTGAACACTAATAGATTTATTTGGGTACAAGCTTTCATGGGTAAAACCTCACTTTGTCATGTTTTTATCTACAAAAGCTTGTGTCCGAATAAATCTGTTATTTTGTAAGGTGCCATAGGACTCCTCATTAAATGAGAAGCATTTATATTTTATTCCTTCAATCAAATTCTCTTGCTTTATTAAACTGTAATGATTTCTTGTGCCATTTCAAGGTTAATTTTCCTATATTTCTGCCTAATATGAAGCAATAAACATTCCTGTCTCTGTGTGTGCAGTAGGGATGTTGAATATTGGTTAACTGAATAGTCAAGTAACCTCATGACATTTTATCGGTTAGTCGACTATTCTATAGTCCCTGGTGGCAGGGCCGGCAGCCAGTATATCAGAGGCAGCAGCGTTCGGTGCCAGGTGGGAGCTGGTCTGCAAGGAGAGCTAGTTAAAAAACCAGCTCCTCTTGTGGACCAGCTGCCTGTTGCCCTATACTGCTGCTTCTGAAAAAGAGGCAGCAGTGCGGGCTGCCAGCAGCCCATGTCTAGGGAGAGTCTAAGCTCCCGTACCCACTGCGAGGCAGAACTGAGCTGGGCTGCCCGCCCGGATCTTAATACACTTGAAATGCAGAGCTGCAGCAGGGTTAGGTCCTGGACCCATTGCAAGCCAGGACGGAGCCAGGCTGCTGGCCAGCCTAATAAAAATGTATTGGCTTGAAATGGAGGGAAATGCATGTAGTCTACAGCATTAACCTATAAGCTTTTGGTTATCAGTTAATCGGCTACACTATTACATCTCTAGTGTGCACATCTAGCACAGAGGGTTACAGAAATGTACTGAGTCTAGAATATTATGTGAGATATCAAAAGAAAGCCAGATCTCACTGGTCATTAATATCATTGTGAAATGTATGTACAGAGACTATGCAAAGAATATGTTTCAAAGTCTATGTTAAGGCAGAGTTGACAAACAGGTTTTCTGTTAAGCAAGAGTTGTTTGCTTATTTTTCTGTTGAGATATAAATTATGCATTGTAAGCGAACATACTGAACGTCTATATACATATAAAGTTAACAAGGAGATGTGAAATCAACAGGGAAGCAGCACATAGGAAAAATAATCCATGGGTGGTTATTCTGACTCTGAGAACAGTCAATGTAAGCAGAAGGCAAAGAAGACCCTCTTATTCTTGCACCTAATAAGTAAGTGTTGATTACATTCACGAAAACAGGATATCAACCAACCTTGGTTGAAAAGCTGCAGAAAATTCTGGGGGTTAGGCAAACTTCGTTAGACAGGAGGTTAGCTTGTTTAGTCTCTATAAAACAAGTTATGATTTTGTTTTATATGTACGCTTTTGTTTCCATATTACTTCATATTTCTGGAATATTTGGTAACAAAATTATCCTTGTTTCCACTACAAATATATCTCAGTGCTGTGATACACAAGGAATGCCTTGGGGACAACAGACTTGGTATTCCTAAGACTGTTCAGTAGACAAAGGACTGGACAGAGCAGCGGTTCCCAACCTTTTCCAGATGGGGATCCATTTTGACAATTCAGGAAGACTTGGTGACCCAGTGCAGTTAAAAAAAAAAATGTGTGAATGGCTCCTTAAGAACCACCTGGGGAGACACCTGGTGACCCTTTTGAAATGTAATGGTGACCCATATTTGGGTCCCAACCCAGAGGTTGGGAAACCCTGCCACAGAGGAATGCTTAAAGGGCCTTGAAGGCTTGAGTACACCTATTGTTAACCTGCAAGACAAAATAGACGCTGCCACAGCCCAGAGTACAATGCTTGGGTGGCTAACAGACTGATGGTATCAGAAAGCTGACACAAAACTAAACAAAAACAAGTCTTCCTCACACTAGAAGTAGGATAGGAAACCAGGTGACTCAGGCTATGTCTACACTACAGGGTTTTTATCCCGGAAAAACTCCGCCGCGTCCAGGGAACGCGTCTGCTCTTCAGCTTTTTTTTTTTCGCAGAAGAGCAGACGTGTTCTTTCGGAAGCCCTGTCTTCCTCCTTCCACGAGGAAGAAGGGTTCTTCCGAAAGAGGAGGCTTTTCGAAATTTGGTCCAGTGTAGACGGGCCAAATTTTGGAAAAGCCTCTTTCGAAAAACTATCGGAAAAAGAAACGCAAATTGCGAAGCGTACCTTTTTCCGATAGATCATTGTAGTGTAGACATAGCCTCACAGTCCTGGGTACCCTGAGAACTGAGAGAGTGTGAAAAAGAGTCTTTGTGTGTGTAGTAACTGGCAGTTAGAGATTAAGCCATTTATTTCCATCCCCTCTTTTTCTGCAACACCAAGAGGAAGCAGCAACAGGGTGTATGGGCTGTCTATGTGAAGATCTCATCACTGTCTTCCTAATTTCTAAAAAGGCTTCTAGGGAAGTAGATACTGAGCTCCATTCCCCATGTCACACGGGCTGAGCACACACTCTCAAGGAACAGTCAACAAAGGTACTTACTCCCCTCTGGAGCCCCAGTCACGTTATCATTTTATAACTGTGAATGTTTTAGAAAGGGCATGCCCAGGAGAACGGAAGTAAACAAGAAACAAACTGTATTATTCAGTATTACTATAAATCCAACCATATTAACAATTTAAAAGTAAACAAAAATAGAAATAAAAACAGTACAGGTTTAAAAATACATAAACATGAACATAGGCAGAGGCTGAAAATAGGCAGATTCAGGCTAAAAAAAAACCTGAAAGCAGAAGCATAAAACATGCATAGAAAAACTTAGATGAATATAAGCGAACATAAAAAATCAAACTGGTACACATAGTTGTATACTGAGCCATTAACAATTATGATCAAGGACTAATTATGGGCCTAGTTCTGCCTGCTTTGATCATACAAATAATACCATTGGTTTCAGTGAGAACACTTGCATGAGTAAAGCAAATGTAATATAGCTCTATATAGCTTGCTCCTATCATTCAATACCCTTCTAGAGAATTGGATTTGGACAGCAATTAACATATGTTAACTTAATGTACATCTATAGTGCCAAAAAAAAAAAAAACCCCCCACACATCCACACCACACCACACCCCCAAACACACACAGAAAAAAACAAAGACAAACCTACAACCCCCACAACCTCCCACCTCCAAAAAAACCTGCCCCAAACACAAGTTATCAACGTGGCAAATCTCAGATCTGTAGCCAACAAACACAGGCTCACATTACAAGACAAAAATAGCAGGGTAGCTGCTGCATCCCAGGTTCTGACACTCTGTCCCCCCCTTTACCAGCTTCAGAGCCTAAAAGGGAACATTGCTATATTTAGTTTGTATCATGAACCCAAGTCAATTGACCTGGACTCTCATGCTGGCCACAGATTGTTTTGGTTTTTTTGCAGTGCATACACATATGAACAGAGACACATATACAATGATTTAATCACAAACACCTAACTGTAAAAGAACTTCTTGAAAGTTTCAAGAGACCCTAGAGTACCTGATGTGGGTGGAATGAAGAATTTTCACTAGTGGTTCATGAGTAGAGCTGCTATAAAGTAACGATTTGGGGTTGGTGATGAGAACAGCTGGCCATTCCTCAAAGTTCACATCTGCAAAGCTAAGGAGGTCATGATCAAATGCAAGGATCCGGTACCTGATGATCAGAGGTTAAAACAAGACAATGTTGTTAATGTCGACTATTACAAGGGGACAGGATTCACAAATTGCCCCAAAGCTTTTAAACTAGACTGACTCATTTATTTGTGTGTGTGTGCACGCGCATGTGTGCATCTGTGTGAGAGAGAGATGAGTAGCAGAGGGGTACAGTTTTTAGATTGAGACTTTCAAATTCATGTTGCTTATTATGGAAGCACCATGTGCAGTCTCATAGTTGACACAAGTTGAGTTCTGACCTTGTAACAGGCAGTCAATCATTTTGTTATATATTAATTATTATTATTAAAAATATTTAAAAATGAGGGGTCCTTTGGCACCTTAGAGACTTACAAAAATATATATGGTATCATGAGCTTTTGTGGGCAAAACCCACTTCTTCAAATGAGCGTAGCAAAGGGCACAGAAACCCCAAAATTTAAAACAGAAAAAGAGAAGCGAGGAAGAGGAAGGAAAAAAATATTTATTATTAAAAACTAATTAGTATTAATTATTTGTATTACTATTTCACTTAGAGCCCTAGTCACTGACCAGGACCCCACTGTGCTAAGCATTGTACAACCAAACTTATCTTCCCCAAAAATCACAGTTTTCACTTTTTGAGCATGGAATGAATTTTAAGAATTTATGAATTAATAGGTTTGTTTAGGAATTAGAAATAATTATGATGGGTCCCTGTGATATTTACACCCCATATCTCAGTTTCTCTCTCACAAATTATTTTAATAATAGGCCAACGGTGATGCTTCACACTTCCGTTATAGTTAAAACTCAATGAAATTTTGTGCATACAAGGAGGAGGACACTGGAACAGGGCAGTGCTACGGGGTGAGGAGGGGCTGCGCCGTGTGCAGGAGTGGGGCAGCCGCAGTAGGTTGTGGAGCAGCCAAAGCTGCGTGCCCCCAGAAGCCTGTCCTTGCCGGAAAAGCCCCAATGGGAGCTTCCTATGGGCTCTGAAGGGGGCAGGGTAGCAGAATTTTTTTGCGGAACCCCGAGTTACACTTCATGGAACCTCAGGGTTCTGTTGAGCACCATTTGGGAAATACTGCACTAGACTATAAAGCCAAGTGGCTGAAAGAACGAGGGGGCTGCAAAGAAAGGGGCTGCTCCCTGGAATGAGGGAAGTTATCAAGGAGATGAAGAAAGTCCAGGGGAAGGGTAAACACTGAGATCCTGTCCTGAAGTAAGGAGTCTAGCAAGAGGCTAGGAGGGGGTAAAGTAGCCATGGAGGGTAGAATAGTCTCCTGTGATAAACCCAGAACCAGGCAAGGGAAGCAAGAAAGGGTGGGTAAGAAGGAGCCCAGGGAAATACTGAGAGGGCTGGGGATTGAGCAGACATAGGTTGCTGTGTATAGGATCTCTGAGAGAGAACCCAGTGTGATACGTGGGCTGGATTCTCCTGCTAGCCACTGGCACAAAGCCCCAACTAGAGGCTGAACACATCTGCAAGGGGCATTTGGACAGTGGTCCTGTTGGACTTTGTAATCCTGGAAGGGGTTAACTGAATGGCTGGAAGGCCAAATTACCAGAAGATAAGTACTGAAGAGAAAGCTTTCACAACATGGGATGCCTCCTTCTGCTAACTTTCCCAGATCTGGACAAGAGGCATCACACTAGCAGGGAGTGGGAATTCTATCATACCTTGGTATGTGTTTTACCCTAAATTACTTATATTTATTTGAATTGTAACACTAGTTTAACACAGTTATTATTAAAGGTGTTTAATCCAGATTTAATTCTTAGCATCCACAGATTAAAGGATAGTATACCAACCCACTAGACAGCACAGATTCCTTGCAACATCTACCACATTTCAGTCTATTGATGCTGCATTTATCAGACTATTTTTGTTTTTTAAGCATATGAACAGAATAAAGCTGATGCAAAGCAATGACATTTTAAAGTACCAATACTGATGTTTTAATTACAGCTCATGTAGCAATCTTGTTACTGAACACAAAGATATCTGCTATTTAGATTTCCTATATTCACCTTCTAAATATACAAAATAAGGGAAATGGAGTGAAGAAAAGTATTTCTTGGGCATAATTTCTTATAATTATTTCAAACTATTAGCATAGGGGAAAAATTCAGCATTAAATATGAAGGTATTTTTCATTAACTTTAATGGTAGGAGCTAATGCACTGAAGATATCATGTCTTCTGAATTCTCCACAAAAAATAGAAAGGGTCACCACTTCAACTGGTAGTGTTTGTGTATTTGCTTTTTCACTGAGGATTTACTCACTTTCTATTATTCATCCAGTCTCCCAGCTCCAGTTCCAGAGTACCCTGAGGATGTCGACAATGCAGCGCTGGCATCAATCCACCCAACGTATGGAGGTGACCACACAAATAGGCTGTAGCAGAGCTATTCAAAAACAAGATGATTATTTTACTAGGAGGAAAATGCAACCTCAAGGTAGCTGAAAACTGATGGGCATATTTATGAAGAGGAGGAGGATTAAACATAGCTTAATGCTGGAAATATATAGAAAGAGAAAAAAGATCTTACCTCATTACTTTTCGTACTCCCGGGGATGGGGAGATGATTGTTGAAGTAGGATAATGGCCAAACCAAATGGTTTGGTTACTATGATAACTTTCTTTGACCAAGGACAACAGCTCTTCCATTTGACTCTGAAATGGCAAACAAATTGAAAATGTGTGTCATTAGCATTCAGGCTACATGGATCCAAGAATCAAACAACACAAATATAAAGATACTTAAAAATTTTTTTTTTACAAGAGCCTGTACATAAATGGAACTTTCAGAACTGTTGTCAATACCCCCAATTTACATAGCACTCAAAGTACTTATTTTACTTCATCAATGGTAAAAGCAGCATAAAGAAGATCTGCATGAGATTTTTCCCCCGAGAAGGTTTCTGCCCATTTTGGCTTCAGCATAAAAAAAGCATGCAAGCTGAGAGAGGTGACAGAGGTCCAGAAAAATGAGCTGAAAGAGTCCGTTCTTCCTAGAGAGAGAAACCCAAAAAGCAGTGATGGGAAACTACACTTCTACCACCTTATGTGTGAATCCTATAAGAATCAACTGTCTCCCCAGTTTTTTTCAACACCTACATGCAGCCATTAGGTAAACTGACTCTAGTGTCAGCAGTATGTTGATGACAATAAGTAGGATTGCCAGGTGTCCAGTTTTGAACCAGACAGTCCAGTATTTGAGCTTTCTGTTCAGGAAACAAATTACGAAAATATAAATGTCCGGTATTTTCTAAATAAGATGTAATGTAGATTATAATGTAATGTCAGGTGTGTCCAGTATTTTTGTTGAAACCACCTGGCAACCCTAACAATCTGCTCTACACACAATCACATTGCTACCACCAAGAAGGCCCATAAAATAAATGAGATCAGCTCATGGATAAAGAGCAGCTGGCTGTATCTGTGAAAGACAGAAGTGATGCTAGTGGGTAAAAGAAACCACACAACACAACTGATCAATTCAGTGCACTGTTTAGGACTACACTCGAATTCCTCACAGATGCTAAAGCTCTCACACAGCAGCATCCACAAATAATGCTTTCTATCATCTCCAGTTGTATAGGAGGCTCTGCTCCATCCCAACAGATGGAGAGCTGGCTTTTGTTATTTATAGCTTTGATCCTTCCCAGGTATACTACAACACTGTGATATATCTAGGCACAAAACCTTTAACATTTAAGAAACTCCAGCTAGTACAGAGCTCTGCAGCACATCTCCTCAGCAATATAGGCTACCACAAATACTCCAAACCCATTCTCTACTCCTTACACTAGCTTCCCAGAGAATTTTCAATCAAGTTAAAGGTCTTGCTCCTTATCTTCAAGGTGCTCCATGGCTTGGGCCTAGGGCAGTGGTCACCAACCTTTTTCAGAGCAAGATGACTTTTGAATTTACGGGCAACCCAAGATCTACCGTAAGAGAATGTTGTAGATAAACTGTCTATTTTTAAATTATGCTATATATAAAATTAAAATCACGTTTATAGTTATTTAATAAATGATCTGTTTTTAATTTATGCTATGTAAATCTAAAATGACATACTGATAATTATACATTTTGTCCTCCAATAACAAAGTCTCAGTGTGACATCTGTGATTGAACATTATCTGTCAGTGTCTTGAAGTCTGGGTTGTAGTTTGAGATTGCTAATTGTATACAGTCCATCAGAAGGGCATCTGTGAGGCGGATGCGATACCTGGACTTCACTTGGGAGAACACTGTCTCACAGAGGTATGTGGAGCCAAGGTATGCCTTCACTTCGAAAGCACAAGCTGATAGAAGTGAGTACTTTTCTCGGTTTACAAGTCTCCAAAAATCACTGTCCCTTGCTCTGACTTTCAGCTCAATATCATTCTGCATAGTAATTATCTCCATATCAAGTCCACTGCTTTGTAAATGAAACACCTGATGAAATTTGGTAGCCAAGCCGCCAATGTCTTCTATTTGAAAGAATGGATTTGAGACAAACATGACAATTGGTTCCATCACATCTAATTCCTGAAATCGCCTGTTGAATTCCTCTGCTAATTTCCTCAGGTGAAACCATTTTTCTGGGTGGAACCATTTTTCTTTCTCATTGATTTTTTGTGGTATTCTCTCCAGATTTGGGAAATGATGCAGTGTTTTATTCTTTAATTGGGAGGACCACAGGCCCAGTTTTAATTTGAATGCATTCACAGCACTGAGCATATGTGTTAAGTCTCTGTCCTTTCCCTGAAGTTTACAGTTCAACTCGTTATGTTTTGATGTTATGTCTGTAAGGAATCCAAAGTCTAGCAACCATGCACTGTCTGACAGCTCACTGTACACTTCATTCCTTGATTTAAGAAAAGTGTTGATTTCAGACATCAGCTCTAAAAATCTTTGCAGGACCTTCCCTCGACTTAACCACCTCACATCAGCATGGAGGATTAGTTCACTGTAGGCAGCATCGAGTTTGTCAAGTAAGGATTTAAACAGTGGTGTTGAAGGGGTCTCTCTCAAATTGAGTTTACTATCTTAACAACTACTTTCATTATATGAGAGAAGTCCATAAATTTACTTGCTAATACTTGCTGGTGGATTATACAGTGATAATTGACAAAAGAAGGGAAATGAGGATCATTCCTGCAAAATGCAACAAAGCCCGCGTTTGCGCCAAGCATGGCTGGTGCACCATCCGTTGTGATGAAAATCAGTTTCTTGATTGAAATGTTTTTCTCAAGCACATACCTTTCAAAGTCGTTGCATATTCTCACCTCTTGTTCTCTCTTTAAGGGGCAAAAGAGTGAGAAGATCCTCTTTAACTGTCATATCCTTAAAAACCATATGCAGAAAAACAATCAGCTGGGCAGTGTTGGTCATGTCGACAGATTTATCGAACGTTAGTGAGAAGCATTTGCAGTCCTTCAGGTCCTGCTGTAGTTGCTGAAAGACGTCTTCAGACAAAGATTCCACTCGTCTTGCTACTGTGGAAGCACCAAGTGACATGCTCTGGATTGCTGCAATTATTTTTTCTTTGTTTTTAAAATCTCTGAATAGAGAGTCAGCTGCCACAGTCATTGCTTCTTTAATTATTTTGCCATCTGTGAACGATTTCTTGTGTTTTGCCAGCAGATGGCAAATACAAAATGATGCTTCAGTGCAGGCCTTGCCTTTTGCTGCTGGTTTAAAAAATAATGACAGTCGAGCTTTCAAAATGGCCTTCAGTTCATTAACTTTCTTTGTACAAAGCATTCTGTTCAAGGGAAAACTGTCCTTGAATTTACTATGTGCTGTTGTGTGGTGTTGTTCCAAATTGCCCCTTTTACTTAATGATAAACTTTGATGACATACACTCTTATCTTTTACATTTGTGAATAGAAATTCATTTTCCCATTCCACATGGAAGTTGTACATTTTCGATTTCTTAGGTGGCCCAGGTTCGCCACTCATTATTTCCAGCCAGGGATGTATAGCTAAAATAAAAAGCAAGATAACACTAACTATCAAATGTGTGATATTTGTTTTGGTACAATGTGGTGATATTATTGTCAGGGTCAGACTGAAGACAGCTTTTACAACTGTTTGGATTTAGAATTTAAAATGTTCATAATTTATTTGTGCACGCTAGTCAGTATGGTCTTCTGGAGCTGGAACCCAGCAGGGACAGCTTCACCGGGCTCCAGGCCTTTCCCAGGACCCCACTGGACCCAGTTCCAGTCATAGTTGCTGTCAGTCATGGATTCATTAGAGACAGCGCAAGTCAATATGAGGGTCTCTCCAGGCTTTACTGTCACTGGGCTGGGCTGGACTGGACCGGACCAGCTACACCTGGGAGAGGGTAGGGGAAGGAAAAGCAACAGAAGTAAGGAAATCTCCTAGCAGGGAGGGCTGTGCAGGTCTGTGTCTGGGGAGAGACTGAGGCTCCCAGAATCTGCGGGTTTATATTTAAACAGCATGGCCTGGGCAGGGATTTGCACGTGGGTTGCACACAGTGGCAATAAGGCGATAAAGGGACATCTAAGGGGCGGAAGCGTTGTCTGGTGAAGTGGCCTACAACACATCATCATGCATGGGATGGGATGGGGAGGTCACAGGGCTATAGGAAAAGCCTTTCCACTAGATACAGTGTGCCTTAGGACAGGGCTTAGAAGGGTCTGGTGTCCTCCAGCAGCGCCTCTTGGGAATAGATAAGACATAGAACTTGTGTAGAGATACAGCCAGTAGAAATGAACTATCATGGGGATGAGTAATGGGGAAGAGGATTCCTTTCTGTAATAATTAATATCTTGCACATGGACAGAGCCAATGGGGAAAGTGGTGGAGAGACCGGGGGCATTTGGGTAGCAGATAAAGACAAACAGCTGCAGTGAAGGAGAAGGAAATGGAGACACAAAGGAAAGATGCAGCTTTGGGGTTTGTGCCATGAGGAACTTTGACTGCATTTGGGGAGTCTCAACGTTTAACAGGCTGGGGAACCAACAGCTTGTGGTTTGTGCCACTTGAAAGTTAATCACTTCATGGCTATTTAGCCCCAAAGGCACCATTGGAACCATCTAACCCAGCCTCCACAGGCTGAAAACTTTGGCCAGCTGGTCAGGTGGCTGCCCTCTGTTCTAGCCCACGTGGAGCATGGTAAAGCTTAGCTGGGATGGCCAGCTGGTCAGGCAGCTGGGCTGGAGCAAAGAGGAGTGGCTGCCCAGCCAGCTGGCCGTGGCATTCAGCCAGGGTGCACCATGCTCCATGTGAGCTGAAGCAGAGGGGAAGCTGCCCGATTAGCTGGAGCGAGGCGCAACCTCCTCAGGGTGAACGCCACAGCCAACTGGCCAGGGTGTTTCAGCCCTCCCAACCCAGCAGATCCCATCACACCACCACAAGTACTCACCTGTGGTGCTGCTCTGCATATGAAGAGTGCCGATTTAAAATAAGTTGTGTGCAGGCGCGCTGTTACGAGGTCCATAGGCCCACCCCGACCTGGGTAGCCCCGCTACCCCGGTCGCCGTCGCGGACGGTCCCAGTCTCCGTGACGCGGCGCCGGGTCGACCCTCCCGTCGGTTGCCCAGACGATCCCACGAGCGAGGAGGTGAGAGGGTCCGGGCCCTCCCTCTCTCCAGACCCCAGCCCAGGGCCCTAAGGCGGGGGAGATGCTCTTCTCTCCCCCACCCTGGCTGATG